AAGCTAGGGCAATTTTCTTGGGATGGTCTGCCAGCAAGTTCCAAGGCCTCCAAGGGCCAAATCTGGCCCACAGGCCATATCTTGGGCACCCCTGGTTTAAAGGAATATAGAACTCCCCCTCACCTTAGACAGTGACAAATGCCCCTTGCGCAGCCGCACCTCTGAAATACGGATTTTATAGGTAAATATCCTCCAAGACTGTTTTGCATATACAGTATATGTATCTTGTTATTTTGTGCTGAATATGTAATGCTCATTTCATGAGGTGCACCTACTCATGAATAAAATGTGAATGACCGTTGTTAACCTATATACCTGAAAAGGTATATATATTGACCAGGAACCTTATATTCCTCAGATTTAATCCAGTGTCAACTGCAGTTACATCTCAGAGAACCTTGTGTACATTCAACAAGATTCTCTTAAAACTACTTGTCTGTTATATTTTACTTTGAATATTGTTCAAACCCTTGTTTGTGTGAATAAAAGATTTATATACAATTTATGTATATTAATTTATGTGTTCTGAAAAATGTCTGAAAAATGGCCAAAGTAAAGCAGTCCAAACTGTTTTTTTTCTTGAAAATTTTTTTCTCTGGCTTCTTTGAACAAATTAAACAATTTCCCATACAAGTCTATGGGAAATTGTGTTTTGCATAAAGAACATTTTGCACTACAAACGTAGCCCTGGAATGGATTATGTTTATAGTGCAAGGTACCACTGTATATATATTTGAAGATTGTTTTATTTAAAGGACAACAAAATTGATGCAGTTGGTAGTTTCACTTTTGTTATTTGACTACTGCCACAACAATTTTTGTTTTTCTGGGGTGGTTTCCCTAGCGTTAAGAGTAAAATATATCTTTTGAAAAATTGTTTGAAAAGGTGAAAATTGAATTCCAACACCTGACTCAGTGAGAAATTTTGAAATCTTGAGAGCAATTCTGCCGTGTCATGGGTCAAACAGATGTCACCTGCTGACACGCTGTTTCACTTGGGACAACTAGATATTGCCCAAGTTGAGAGTACAAACAGGAGAATTAAAAGTATGATGCAGTGTACAAAACACCACGTCATCATCATATTTGAGATTGCAAACATCTTCTAGAAGATCATTATGAAACCAGATATGAAATATATTTACAAACAAGAATAAAAACAAGATTCCAAGGAAAAGCCACCAACAGGCCAGCCTTGGTGATATTAATCTCCAGGGCTTATTCAACTGGTGAATCAGCCCTGTGATCAACAGAATAATCAGGAATTCTGTGTGCAAACAAATTAGTCACACATCAGTGGAAAGCCTTGAACAAACTTTCCACTAATGAGGACCTGCACATCTTCATTCATTCATTCTGTCACATTATTTGTCCAGCACGCAAAGGGAACTTGTCCCATATCAAAAATTTCAAACACAGTCACACAGACTGTTGGAAATCAATAATGAAACCGATCCATACATAGCTGCATTACATACATACCCATTGGCAACCAATATGCTGCAGCCAAGTTTGTCATTTGTCCACAACCTGGAAAAGAAAACATTGCTTCCCTCCTTTAAATGCTTCAGTGGAAACCCAGAGGAGGAATTCACGTTTGACCACTTTTGGTCTAATTTTCATAAAATTTGCATCATTCCCTCCAAGTTTATCATGCTGTCTCAAAGAATTGGCCTACTGCTACTTTATTTGGACAGCAAGGCAAACAATCTTGTTGACAGACAGCCTGACAAAACCAAAGAATCAGATTATTGCCAAATTCTGAAAATTCTTATTGAAGAATATGGAGATATCCAAGCAACATGCCAGTGTATTTTTAAAATGTTTGAGAAATTAAAACCAGAAGGCACATCAGCAGATTACATGGCAAAATATAAGGAAAAGGTGGTAGATGTCACCACCCAAATCCACAATTTACATTCAAACATGCCACAGGTTCACATTTGATTGTGGCCTATGATCAAGTCACATCTGCGCAAACGCGGGCTACTCAACAGCATCTTACATGAGTTGGAACTAAATCCTCCTCACTGCGCATCAGAATCTTCAACTTGGGAGAGCACTCCAGCAAATCAATACAGATGGATTCAAAAATTCATACAATCAGAAGCACCAGAGGATGAAGTGTCACCTACGGCACTTACATTCCTCAGTGGATCATACTCCAAACAGAATAAAGAAAAAGAGTCCAAAAAGAAATCCAAATTGAACAAAAAAGAGAAAGAGTTGAGTCCCAGAAAGCGAAAGCGTGAGGCATCCAAAAGCCCTCACAGTTCTGGTTCAAATGACTCAAGGAAATCAGATTGTCAGTCAGAAAATGACAAGAAGTCCAGCAGAAATTGAAGACATTCATCAACGCTGGAGAAATCAGACAGGGAAGATTGTTTGCCTAGACGCTCTCAGAAAATTTCCAGCTACAAAAGCTCTGGATCAAATTACACTACAGACAGTAAATGGAAATTTCCATTCTGTCAACAAGGACACAATGCTTTCCATTGCAAACTAAGCATCCCGGAACAGATTCAAATAGTCCGGCAGAAAAAGCAGTTGTGCTACAACTGCCTTGCATCAAATCATCCAATTGCCAATTGTGGCAGCAGCAAAAGATGTCAAACCTGCAATAAACCACAACATTCTTCCCTATGCTACAAATCACAGAATAATGGCTCACAAAACAATGACTTCCAAAACAATAATGGATACCAAGGCAATAACAGATCTCAGAGCAATAATGAATTTCAAAACAATACCAGATATCAGGGCAGTTGTTTTTGGAGGAATGAGTCGAATTGGAATTCATCCCAATTTAATAACAGCAGAAATGCAAACAATTTTGGAAACAACCAAAATCAAAACAACAAAGGACAAAACAATGGCGGAAGCAACAACAATAATCAGAACAACAGCAACCAGAATGGTCGCAACCGCAACTCCGGTAGCTCTTGCAACAGTGGCACTCAACAACTCAATCAACTTCCTAACAAAACTCCTAGAAACTTTGCCTCAATCCTTCAGGCCATCTCAGATCATCTACCACTATCACCACTGGCATTGGCATTACCTGCACTAGCAGTTGCAGCACCGGCAGCCATTGCAGGAATCCTGGGGGGCTACCAACCCTCATATGCTTTCACAACTTAAAGACATCAAACATTCCTTAGCTGATCCAAGCCTCCTTACAAGCACACGGATAACATTTGACATTGTGCTGGGGGGAAAAGACCTGGTATCAGTATACAAACACAACCAGGATCCATACTGATCACACTCCACATTTAGTGTCATGCCATCAGAATTTCGGTTGGTTGCACGTGGACATTGGGATAGTCCTCACCCCCCTCCAATAGGAAGACCATTGTCTCATGTGGTTTTTGGACAACCCACCAGATATCAAGATGAGGAACTCACCAACCTAAAAATTGACTTTCTCAAGCAAGACCATATCAATATCCTGGGAGATGCAGACAAGGAAACTTTGTATGAAACAGACCAATACAAACAATATCTGCAACTAATTACAATCAGTAAGGAAGGGCAAGTAGTTGCTCCCCTCCTCAAATCCTATTTATATCCAAAGCATTGCCAGCCAAATTCAAACATGGCCACAATCTGAAGCAAATCAGTTATACACCTTTTGGAAAAAGGCAGCAAGCTTGCTGATGCCTACAAATATCTCTTCTCCCAATGGATTAAGGATGGAGTTATTGCATCCACAACCCTGGCAGAAATGAACAACCATGGAACAGCTTATACAGAGCTACCACATCATGGCATAGCACAACCAGAAAGTGCCTCAACACCTCTATGCGTGGTCATGGCAGGAAATGCCAGTGACAAGAATTGCTATTTGTGCAATCAACTCTTCATACAAGGACCAAATTTACTATCAGAAATTACAAACATATTATTGAGATGGAGATTCAGCAAACACTTTGGAGTTGGGGACATACAAAAGGCTTTCATCCAAGTGCAGTTAGCACCAGAAGACCAATGGGTCTTTCTCATTTGATGGCCTGAATGTCAGCCATACGCACAATTTGTACCCAAATTCTATCATCTTCTTTGTCTCCCATGGGTAATTAACTGCACACCATTCATTTTGAATGCAGCAGTGCATTACCACTATCTCAAAGCGGTCAAGGAAAAGATTTTGACAACCAAAGAACAAGAAGACCTTACAAACAATACCTATGTCAATGATGTTGTCATGTTTGGAGAAACAGCTCAAAGAGTCCAAACAAAAATGGCTAACACAACTGCAGCACTAGCCACAGGAGCATTTGCACTCACAAAAGTCAGAGTTGCACCACTTTCACTTTGAATTACCAAAAGGAATAACTGTGCAAATAAGAAACAGGTTTTTCAAGAAAACCACCAACAGACCAGCCTTGAAGATAGTGATCTCCAGGGCTCATTCTACTATGGTGCATCAGCCCTGGAATTAAAGGAATCTAACTGGAATTGTGCACACAAAGATTATTCACACTTCAGTGGAAAGCCTTGACCAAAACTTCCCACTGATGAGGACCAGGAGCTGAGCAGATTCAAGGAAGGAGGGAGTCACTTGCAGTTTGAACTCAGCTGAGAGAAGAGCTCCAAAATTTATTTGTGTGCAAAACATTTGTTATACTGTCTTTGGAAACACCTGACTGACATAAACTGAAGATTGAGGTATTGACCTTAGGCCCCAAAAGGCTGATTGTGTTTACAACTTCATTTGATTTCCTACTATCAAAATCTAAGCTTTGCCAGAGAGGCTCATTAGCCCCTGACAAAATGTCTCAAGTGAAAATCCCCTGTGGACATCTTACTTGAGGGTGTGTGGTACACTGGTACTTGAATCAGAACCACACATTTGTGGAATGGAGCATATATAAGATGCTAACATCATGCTTCACAACCACTGGAGTGCTTTTCAACATAAGGGTTATTAGAAAGGCAAGATCTCACCAAATATTCAAAGCTGCAGGATCTTCAATAAATCAAAATGAAGCATCAGCAAAGGAATCAATCAATTTACTATCTCAGAAGAAGAAAATTTGCAGAAGAAAAGAAGCAGAAAATTTTGGCAGTCATAAAGAAAAGGATCATCAGGCATTTCAGAACAAAATTCCCCAGCAGAACATGACTGACTCAAACCCCATTAATCACAAGCATCATTTTGCATGTGACAATCTCTCCAAGATCTAATGATTTCATTCAACTCCATGTTTGCTGTCATTGACTGAGCCTCTGTCAGCAAATAAGGTGAGACATTCAGGAAGAAATCCAAGACCTGGTCAATCTGTTCAATGATGACAAATATGCTAGAATCTTGACCCAGTTGCTCCAATGAATCCTCTTCCCTGGAAACAGTCAAAAAGTCATGAAATGCACAACAATTTGTCAAAATATTGTATATCAGTGTTCCACAAACTTTCTGGGCCTGCAAACTAGCAAATTTCCAAAAATATGTCTGCATACTGGCAAAGTTACCTAAAATTTTTGCACACACAAAAGTTTTGCTCAGAAAACTTTTGCCAGGAATTGGAAAGTTTAAGCTTTTCTGCAATGCAGTAGCTAGAGTGGTATGGTTTATAAAAATTGGAGAAGTAGGTATGAAGAAAGATTTATTGGATTGAAAAATTAAAAATAATTTATTTCAGCAGGGGATAGTTTGTCTGAAGTCTCATATTAGGAGGAAAACCAACTTATTTTTCATTCAATAATTTCCACTACTTTTATCTTTCAAAACATTTCAGATAAAGTTAACAAACTTTATTGCTTTTCTTGGTAAATTTATCATGCTGAAAAAAATTTCCTTCAGACTGGCCAAAAACTTCAGTGGACCAGTGCCAGTCCACAAACCACAGGTTGTGAAACCCTGATATACATCATGACATGACACCCACTGAGAATATGATGTATCAGCCTTTCTCAACTCCTCCTTGAAAATGGGATACAATGGGCAGTCAGGTGTGAGGTCAGACACAGCTTGCTTGGTGAGTATGACAGAGGCCTTGATAACCTGCCTCACCTTCTGCCAAGCCTTCACAACTGGATCAGACACCTGCTCACACAACTTGGCCAATACCACAGTTCTCTCTCTGTACTCTGCATACATGTCACTCTTCTGTGCAGCCAATTGCTTGCTGTACTTGAACACCCTGCTGTCAGGCTGTGCATGAGTTGAGTCACTATATTGCTCCAAAACTGGGTCAATTGAATCAGGGCTAAAATCAAAGTGGAAACTCACCATGCCTTCAAGGACCTTCTTTTTACCCTTGTTGACCAGATCTGACTCAAAGATGGCAGCTGTGAGCACACTGTTGAGCTCCAAAGCCAACTGTTCTGATTTGAAGATCTCAAACTGCACATCATTGATGTACTCATGCAACTGTAAAACAAAAACCAAGTTTGCAATAGAACAGTGGAGTTTCATAAAATTTTGCTCAAATTTTGGGGATTCAATTTGTTTGGATTTGTCCTACAATTTGTTGTGATCACTGGAGAACAATTTCCCTGGAATTTTGTGATGAATAGCATTCGAAAATGTAAAATTGCATGTAGGGTTGGGCATACAAAGTATCTGATTGTGCCCTTGAGTAAGATTTAAAACTGATTTTCTCATGATAGAAGTTGGATAAAAACACATCCCCAGTTAAAAGTATAAGAGTCAAAATATATTCAGTGACAGGAAATTTGCGAAATTTTGAAAGTAAAACATCAAACTTCAATGTATACTTTTAAATGGACCAATATTGAAGCAATTTCAAATTTTTCACTTAAAATTATGTTTTATCAAAATTTGCCATCATGCACACCTGAGCTTTTAAAAAATTGCAAGCAAAATTTCAAAAATGATATGCCTGAACCCTCTTTTTTCAATCTTGAATTTTAAAAGACGGATATAGACAAACTGCTGTATTGCACAAGGCAGTAAAACATGGACACCTGGATGTAGTGGAACAATTCAGGCAGTGGTGCAGGAAACTCAAACTGACTAAAGAAGAGCACCTGCACAAGGTGATGCTGGCGAAAGATGGATGTCAACAAACTGTCTGGCACAAAGCAGCAGCAAGTGAAAGACGCATTGATTGAAATGCTAAAGAAACTCTCTGAATGGGGCAAGGAAATCGGTCTGTCTTCAAAACAGTTTGAATACATGTTGCTGCTCGACAAAGATAGTTATGGACAAACTGCATTGGACAAGGCAGTAAGTCGTCGACACGTTGCAGCTAGAAATCAAATGACGGAATGGTGCAGGAAACTCAAACTGGCTGAAGAAGCAATTAAAGGATACATTGAAATGCTGAAGAAATTCGTCCGTGAAACGGGCACGGAACTGGGTCTGTCTTCAGAGCAGCCTAAATCTTTGCTGCTTCACCTTGCATCCATTTTGATGCCGGAGGAAGATGGACAATGACACAAGTTGTGGTGACAAGAAAGATAAAACAAAGGGCTGTTGACTTTGAAGCCCATGACTTGAATAACAGAGTTGAAAAAGGAAAACAGCAGGCATTTTTTTAAATAATTTTTTCAACAGCAGCAAAATACTGTTCCTCATACAATAATGTAGTTGCTAAAATTGGGGTCTATGAAATGACCCTTCTGGTACCAGCTCAAAAATCAGCACTCTGATGTGAAAGCTCAAGGGAGCAGACAAAATCTGCTCAAAATTCTTTCCTTTTTTCTCTCTTCCTGAGGTGCACCTGCATGCAAAAAAAAAATTAACAAGAATTTTGCTACACAAGGGCCACATTTTTTTGTATTTGATTTTCTGATTTTCCCTAAGCCTCTGGGGTTTAGAAAATTTCTTCCACCAAAGGAAAATTGCACAGAAGGCCTCTGTCCCCTCAGCAGCATCCCTTCCTCTTCTCCTTGGCCAAAACCTGTTGTAAAAGTGAAATGCAAGAAAAATAAAGCACAAAAACACAAGACCGGAGACACAAAATCAAATCCAAATATCCCTCCAGGAAAGCATGCTGTGTTTTCTTCCAAACTTGAAAAATTTTTACATTCACCAAAGTCTGGGGGGGGGGGAAGCACCCAAGTGAATTAAAATGTATCACATATTCGATATTCCTGACATTGGCCTGCTTTTTGCAGTCAGGTTTGCAGCAAGTGTGTTACATTAAGCTGTAGATCTTCTTGTAGCAGGGATACAATTTTATGAAATTCTCCACAAAAAAAAAAACTTGTTGCATACACGGGAAAAATTTACCATTCTTACAAAATCCCCTCTAAAAAAAAAGTCAGCTGGAGTCAAAATCCATGGCAAATCACGTGCAAGATTTCCCCCAATTCTTCACTGGCATCAAAAATAAATTCACTAAACAAAAACACACACTCACGTCAATTGGCCTTTTTCATTTCACCGCTCTTCCCTTCCGAGGAAACAGACAGAAACAGTAAGTTGATTTACACAGAGCATAGCATAGATGAACAGACATACTCGAAAAAGAAAAAAAAAAACCACTTTTGTGCCAAACCCACCTGTACATGAAATCCCTCCCACCCCAAATTTGTAAATTACACACACTCACACACAAACAAAAAACTAGGTGAGGATTTCTTACAAATACCAAGAAAGAAAAAAAAAGCAGCGTCTCACTCACGATTCTTTCGTTTCACGACAGCAAATAACGACATTGGAACCTGAGTTTTTCTTTCCATCTCTTTCCCTTATCTTTCCTGACGAAACCCCAATTGCTCTTTTCAATTGTTCTTCCGTGTGAAAAACGATCCAAGACGAGGAACAAAAAATCAATTTTCTCAAGTTTCTCCATCTCCATGAGGTCCAGTTGGAAAAGTTCGTTCTGTCACTCGTTCCACCACAGGCGAAAATTTAAGGCGACTTTTTTTTCGAACACAGTATAAACGTGATGAGGAAATTTAAATTTAACAAGTTAGAGGTTTGTGATAAGCTAAGATTACCTTCGGGAATTCCGAACAAATGATATCCAAAATTTTGGCGTTTTTCTATTTCATCCACTGCTTTCTCGTCAATCATGCCTCCAAAAATTCACGTTTGTTATTTTTATTACAAACGCCTCGAGTTTTCCAAGAATCGAGAGAGTCTAATACATTTCGGAATCAGACTTCCATACTTACCCTGCGCTAAAAAAAAGAGTTTCCATCTCTTGCAACATTACATAACACATTTTTCATCACGGCTTCTTAAACTCAATAATTATCCCCAATCAAAGATTGCGAAGTCCTCAAACAAAAAAACGAACTCTGATTTACAAGAGACAAATTTTTATAAGACAAATGCGTCTTGTGCCAAAGAACGCATGATATTTCAACAAGATTTGCCATGAAAAAATAATCTAGAATCTTTATCTGAAAGTTAACATTATATTCAGAATAAAACAATAAATTTCTGAATTAAATTCTTCCATCTGCTTCAACAAAACTTTGGGAATCACAGAAAACTACTATACACAGGGATCTTTCACAAACTTCCCACATCTTTGGGTGTCATGAGTGCTTGAATTACAAACACTCATGACACCCAAGTTGAGCAATCAACACAAAAATTTATGAAAAAATGCTCAACTTCAGTTTTTTGAAGACAACAATGTCCAGATAGACAAGGACAAAAACAAGAGTGTGAAAAATACCCTTCAAGGTTTTCAGATGCAAAAACAACCTCTGTTCATCAGAAAAACTCAAGTCAGACATATTCTATTACAAAATGGGATTCATTGTTGGAAACGTTGAGGAGAACCCGTTTATTATTTTTATGTATACTGCTGTACTGTATATATTTTTGCTGTGCAAGTCGAAACCGAGAAATTTAAAATAAGATACCAATTTCTTGCGAATCATTTCCCTAAAATTGACAAAAATTGAGATATTGTCAAGTTCGAATGTAAGAGGAACCTTGGAAATGGTTTTTGTTAGTTCAATTTAAAATTAAATTTTTTTTAATGTTTGAAATTGCTTACAAAATTTTAAAATGTTTTTTGATTACTTCTAAAATTTCAATTTTAATTTAAATGCACTTTTTAGAATTCTTTTCTAGTTTTATTTTATCTTCTTGTGAAATTTGTAAAAACAATTTGTTTTTAATTTGGTTTTAATTTTTTTACAGGACGAATCTCAGCGAAAAATTCAAACTTTCACATGGGAAATTTGTTTCTTACATTTCCCTAATGTAACTTTTTGTCATTGTGCGAGTGAACATGTTTTATTCCTAAAATTGTTTCGCAATTTCTTCATCACTTATGTCATCATGACATGAATTTACACTTCATTTGATTATTTGTCTTGCAAAGGCACCCGATTTATAGTCTGAATAGTCCAGGGTTTTCGTCTTAATTTAGATGACTCACGGATTTATTCTCTAAATTTTTACAGAATTTTGAAAAGAAGTGTAGGAAATTAATTAAAAATAAAAAAAAGCGAACCGATATCTATAAGAATGATTGTCTCAAGCATTATTGGTATCCCCCAAATTTGCTTTAAAGACTGACTTTTATCATGATTCAGCCAATTTTTTCATTCAGATAATTTTCTTGGAACGACAACCCCTTGACCTGGCTCCACATTGACATGGCAACCCCTGTGGCAGTGGTGACGAGTCTCTGGACAGTCGCCTGAGGGGGTTTTGTTTCTTTTCAAAATGGGATTCATTGTTGGAAACGTTGAAGAGAACCCGATTATCATATTTATGTATACTGCTGTACTGTATATATTTTTGCTGTGCAAGTTGAAACCGAGAAATTTAAAATAAAATACCAATTTCTTGCGAATCATTTCCCTAAAATTGACAAAAATTGAGATATCGTCAAGTTCGAATGGAACCTTGGAAATGGTTTTTGTTAGTTCAATTTAAAATTAATTTTTTTTTAATGTTTGAAATTGCTTACAAAATTTTAAAATGTTTTTTGTTTACTTTTAAAATTTCAATTTTAATTTAAATGCACTTTTTAGAATTTTTTCTAGTTTTATTTTATCTCTTTGTAAAATTTGTAAATACAATTTGTTTTTAATTTGGTTTTAATTTTTTTACAGGACGAATCTCAGCGAAAAATTCAAACTTTCGCATGAAAAATTTATCGTTTTTGAAAATCTGTTTCTTACATTTCCCTAATGTAACTTTTTGTCATTGTGCGAGTGAGCATGTTTTATTCCTAAAATTTTTTCGCAATTTCTTCATCACTTATGTCATCATGACATGAATTTACACTTCATTTGATTATTTGTCTTGCAATAAGGCACCCGATTTATAGTCTGAATAGTCCAGGGTTTTTGTTCTAATTTAGATGACTCACGGATTTATTCTCTAAATTTTTACAAAATTTTGAAAAGAAGTGTAGGAAATTAATTAAAAATAAAAAAAAAGCGAACCGATATCTATAAGAATGATTGTCTCAAGCATTATTGGTATCCCCCAAATTTGCTTTAAAGACTGACTTTTATCATGATTCAGCC